AGACCAGCTGCACAGGCAGGTTGCGAAATGAGATACAGGTGATCGGTTTGTGTGATCGGCAAAAAGAGACCGTGATCGGCTATCACCGATCATACACTTTTTCACTGAAATCGGCCGATCATGATCGGTGGCCGATCGATCGGCACACCTCTAGTATTTATCTTTAGTTGCATTGATTACTGAAACAGTGTCTTCCCAGGTCTGCCTAAAAACTCAGACAGTTGAAACTGATCCAGAATGCTGCTGCTTGTGTTCTCACTAAAACCAGGAAGATAGAGCACATCACCCCAGTACTAAAGTCCCTACATTGGCTGTAGCTCAGAGAATAGATTTTAAAATAATGTTGTTAGTTTACAAATCACTGAATGGCTTACTACAATACATTAAAGATCTGCTGGTGTTGTATCAACCCTACTACCTCTCAGATCTTCTGGTTCTGGTTCTGGTCTGCTCTCCATCCCCAAAACCAGAACCAAGCAGCATTCAGCTTCTATGCACCACAAATCTGGAACAAACTTCCAGAAAATTGTAAAACAACCATAACACTGAGTTCCTTTAAATCAAGACTAAACCCCACCTGCATAGAGTTGCCTTTGAAACCTACTAAATGAAACAATGACCAACCTATTTGATGTGTATGATATTGGTGAGGGCACTCATCAAAATATGTCTGTCTATTTGTTGACTGTATGGTGTTGTCTTTTTAACTTTGCCATTTTTTTATGTAAAGTGCATTGATAAGTTCATGATTGTTTGTATATATTATATGCAAAAATAACAACATATTAATCAGCATAATTAAACAATCATGAACTTAAGATATATTACATTACTAATACAAATATATCTTAACTTTTATACACTGAACCACTGTTTAAATAACTCTATCATATATATCTTATAACTACCCACTAATCTAAAATAAAGAGGAAAAATAACCATAAAACTGCCAAACCTGATATTGACATCGGCACAGCCAACATCAGTACAGTTGATATGAGAGCATCTGCTAGTATTTATACTTATCCTCTTCGGCTTAACTCTCTCTCTCATGTCACTACTTTCATCTTTTCTTTTGTATGTACAACATGCAAACCTTTAAAAGAATGGAAAATCTGAGATCTGAGTCATCAATCATGTAGCAGTAAGTAGTTGCAGAACCAGTTTGTCTTCCAGTTGCCTTGAATCAGTGTAAACTTTGTGTCTTCAATAAGAGGTTGTCTTCGATCACCATTAAAGAAAATCAAATCACAGTCTGTGAAATTTGTTCATCATTTTTTTGATCTTCAGAAGGTAAAAGGTTGCAGTGTAAAATACACCAAAGAAACTTTTATTTGGTGAGTTTAATTGCACTCAATAGCTATGAGGTGGATGTGAATCTATCACTCACAATGTTGTAATGTTCTCCATGGCAGAGTGATGCATGTCTCCACTTGTCGCAGGGGATTCTGGCATTCAGTCCTCGACACATACACTTGATTAAAGTTGCTTCTTCATTGTTATTGGTATGAAGCACAAAAAGCTTAATTTTAGGTCGATTTTATTTTATGACTGAAGCTTTTAGGCAAACCACCTCCCCCTGTTGGACTGCTGCCCATTTTGACTTTATCATTTACAAGTAGCTCGCTATCTGAAAACCGTGGGCAGCCCTACTGTAAAGTTTAGTAGGGTTTCCTATCGTCACAGACCCACAAGTCTAATAAAAGAATAACTCAACAGAATTACAGGTATTATAGAAAGCAATGATGTTATCAGTATCACATTTTGACACTTCAAGCATAATATATTCATATACTTGAGTTTTCAAAATGCAGTGGATATTGATATTTTGTTCAGACAAAATTATCTTCATTATTGGGCATTAAATTCTGCAGCTGAGCCTTTTTTAATCTAATTCTGAACAGATTTTGCTGCATAATTCTGGATTGAGAAGATTTTAGTGCACTGTCCATCCCTGCTGTCCAGCCTCCAAAGGTGACAATGCCTAGTTGCTATGGAAACCTTTGTCCCTCTCTGTGGACACTGTCTTCTCCTCATTACACCTGATAGGGCTTTCCTGCCTGAGCTTGCTCTTATCCTCCTTGAGGAAGGTCCTTATTCCCTCCTAAGGTCAGAGTGTAACTAAGACAGTGTAACTGTAAACTCATACATCACACATTTCAAACCAACACAGATTCATGTTTTTAATCACAGGTTGAGCAATCATTGCATTTTCACTCAATATCGATTGATTAGCTAGTCTGACCCTACAAAAAAAATAATGAACAGTTTGATTTAATTATTATAAACAACATCCTCATTACTTCAACACTGAAAGAGAGAAAAGCAGATAAGTCAACGTCTACTTCTGGCCTTTAAACCCACACTACCCATAACTTATATCACCACGTATTCAACTAAGACTCATTTAATTTAGCATCTAAGCACATTTCGTCCAAAAAGTAAGAAATACAAATTGATTTAATAATTATATTTCTGCTAGAAAAATCAAGAAACCTGCAGCAAGAAACAGTAATTTAGTACTTTTTCAGAGCTGCAAGGAGATAAAAAACACAAAGCATATTTCTGTCTTTTTCAGAAGACCAACCCATTTATGGCCTAGTGTCATGATCCATATTTAAAGTAGACATGGCAGCAACGACTGAGTCCATCTCACTCGACAGTACTCTGTGGCTGAGTTTCTTTCGCAGGAGCACCCAGAGATTTCAGACTGTCCTCAATCCTCTGCAGTGCACTGGTGACCTGAAGACACAAAGGAACCAGCAATTTAACCAGCTGCAAAGACAGTGATGAAGAAAGGTGGAAATAAAACATAATTTATGCAGTGATATAGATCCAACAGTAAAGATTGATTAAATCAGTTAACCTGTCCCTCTAGTGTATCCATTCTCCTTTGCAGTGCATTGGTGACCTGGGTGACACAAAGCAATGATAGGCAAGCAATTTAACCAGCTGCAAAGACGGTGATGAAGAAAGGTGGAAAAAAATATTTATACAGTGATATAAATCCAACATTAAAGGAGTCATTAAATCAGTTCATAACCTGTTCTTCTAGTTTCTCCAGCCGTTCAGTTAAGGTGGTAACCCTAAGAAATCACACAAAATAACATGAGTAAGACTTAGATGAGCTGCAACCGGTCTAATAACATGCTTTTCTCATATTTTATATTAAACAAATTACATAGTTTACTCGGTTTATGCAACAAAACACATTATTCACATAGAATAAGCAAAGATTATAAATTGAAGTAATTTTTCACGGCAGATGAGTTTGATTTACCATGAATACAAAAACACTGGATTTGAGCATCAAATTAAGTTTAACTCAAACAATAGGGTGTTTTCAAGTCTGGACCACAAAATCATAAAATGCAGCACAAGTTGTGAAAAAAAATCAATAAAAAATATAGACAAGCATTTACAATAGGAAACCCCCCCTTCATGTAATTTAAACAAACATTCTGCTTGGCTTTCATTCAGAAGCACATTTAGAGGTATTTAGCCATCTAATAGCCTGGATTTGGCTAGAAGAGAGAGAACTTTCTGCAGGATTGTACTTTTGGGATGAATCCTGGATGCGCCCCTCCATGCTCTGGCTCTTCGCCTGCCGTTCAGATATCATATATGTGTCCCTCATCAAGGCTTCCCAGGACAACAGCTCCTCTTCCTCTTTTCCTCTAAAATCCTTCTCTGAAAAAAAAGAAGAAAAAAAAAGAGTAGGGCAGGATTTGCATCACCATCATTTTCACATTTGTTTCTGTCTGGCTCTTTCCTACCAAAGAGCCAGAATATCTTGATCATCAGTTCTTTAGGGATGTTTTCTAACAAACAAAAGGTGATTTATAGAGCTTTCAGCCGAAAACTTAGCAATCTAGTGTATGATTAGACAAAGTGTGGTTCTAAATCAGGTCTGTGACTGACTTTTTTTTCAGATTTTCAAATACTGTTAATTAGCTTTTCTGTATTTCTTTAGTCCTGACTAAAGAAGGACAAAAACAATTGTGAAAGACAATTGTTTTTGTCTCAGGTGCTACATCTGGATGGAAAACAGGCGGAAAAGAAAAGCAGCCAGAAATTGAAGAACTTTAGAAAGTTATTCAACAAACATAAGGAATCTGAAAATCATCCATTTACTGGAATCGACTTACATTCAGATTGAAACAGCTAGTCAGGAATTCTGATGTTTTTTCATTATTAATGAACACTTCATACCTGAAATTCTGACAACAAAATTCTTCGATGTGTTTCATACAGAGTGTGACATTGTTTCTATTCCTATCTAGATAATTACCAAGTACTCATCTCAGGAAGGTTGGGAAAAAAAGAATTTCAATTCCTACAGAGAAATTTGAATAAGCTAAACGAGGAACTGGCAGTAAATATAAAAAGAAAAAGGTGGTATAAACATTTTGCACAGTACAGATGGAGACAATCATCAGAAGAAGTGGATCTGAGATCACCTCTTGTTAATATTACACATCTAGAAATCAGGGACTAAGGCCTTACTGAATGCAGTTTGAAATTTCGGAGCATTCCACAGCACCAATTTTCTGATGAAGAGGTAGAGATGACTGAGGATGATGAAAGGAGGCGGTGGGGCCGGGCGGCTGTAGTACTCTTTGATCAGCTGATATCTTTGAAACTTCCAGATCCTATCCGTGTTGTCATGGACCTCCTCGAAAGTGTAGCTGTACAGGTGGAAGATTAACAGATTCATTATGTTGAAAACCAAAGCTGACAGATGATGTGGCGCTAAGGACTCACTTAAAGATGGCTATGAGGAGGTTGATGAGCAATATGTTGGCAAAGAGCAAGTAAACACAGAGCATGACGATGGTGAGCCACTCAGGGAAGACCGGCATTTCCTTTTCGTTCAGCACAGGGCACTTGGGCTTCAGGGGATCTGTACCATTCATGCTGCATGAATTCATATCAAACTTAGCATCTGCAGGAGACAAAACAAAAACTAGAACATGCAGCATCACCAAGAAAACTGGCGTCACCTACAGAGAGATTCTGATTTCTCCTCAAGTAGTAAAACTACACTGTGCACTTCTCCACTCACTGTCAACATTTTCAGGGAAATTTCCAAATATAACGAGGTACGGCTCGTAAATAGCCCCACGCATGATCCAGTCCAGTCGATTGTCATTTTCGATGAGGATGCCTTGTTTGGCCACACCGTACGCCACGACCCAGATGCTCAGGAGAAACATGAAGAAGAACAAATCCCTCATCTGCAGCACAAAATTACATTAGGGGGCAAAAAGACAGAAAAATAATTAACTGCAGGTAAATATCACCATCTTGATAACAGTAAATAATTCATACAAGTTCTGTTTTTAGAAAATCAGACTTGGAAAATTAGATAAGGAATAAAGTCTGGAAAGGGAGACACTGGAAAACACTAATATTTTTAAAGACTGAGTACTCTGCTGAAAAAATGTCTCCAAACACCAGCCTAAGGACTACAGGGTCATAAATATCATGTTATGTATTGTTCTAATTGTTCCCACATTTTATCAGGTTCATTTTCATTCATGCAAACTCCTCACCATCTTCTTGACTATGATGATTTTAGGTCCCAGCGTGCGATTGATGGTGAAGATCGCCATGAGGCGGAGGCAGAAGACCACAAAGTCGATGCACAGGATGATTTTACCTGGGTAGAGCAACTTGGTTGTCAGCCTGAAGTAAAAAATAATAATAAGTTGGTGAGTCATAGATTACTGAGTGGCTTGAAAGACTTTCCATGTCTCTCTGAGAGACAGAGAAAGTACCTGAATGCAAGTCCTAGACAGAACAGCAGGATGGAGATGACGTCCAAAATGTTCCACAGCTCTTGAATGTACACCTTGGCTTTCTCACAAAACCCAAAATGATCAGGATCATAAAACAGCTGAGAGAGAAAACAGAGATTCAAACTGACATGTCAGACTTTTATTATCATCAGATATTTATTCTGAATAAGGTTAAATTTCATCGCTAACCTCCAGAGATTGAATATTAGAAATTAGTTAAAAGTAACAGATACCAAATATGTACATACATCGAATAAAAACAGATTTTTTCTCACTGTCTGAAGTTAAATCTTACCAAACTTTTCTTATTTCAGGTCAATTAGAATTACCCAAATTATTGATATTCCCTCAATGCCAGAAAATTAACAAGACAATTTTTTTAGAGATTTTTTTTGTAACTTTCCTAGAATTCAAAAGTTTACATCCATTTGGTTAGTATCAAAAATAACTGAAGCACACTACAGTACACCAGTTGAAGGCCGGTTTCCCACAGTTTTTATAAGTGTCTCTGTTTCAGCATAATTCTTACAAAGGCTTCAACAGAAATGTGACCATTATCAGCATCCCCAAGTTTATTTGCAGGTTTGTTTGAGAAGTTTGTTTCACAAGTTGGTTATCTTTAGTTTTACATATGTGGTTAAGAGGCGCCACCTACTGGTATGGCTGCCTCAAACCAGTTTTAAAATGTGTGTTACTGACCAATGTAAGTAGTTCTCAAGTTTTATCGCTGAGTCACTAACAGCTCACTCTGTAAATTAACCCACCTAGTTAATGTTGGTAGGTCTGAGTACTTTTTAAGCTGTTGTTCATTTGCATACTATAATTTTGTAAATTTTTTATGCCTATGTTAAGTTAATGAGTGTAATAAACTTACACTTTAAAAGTATACTTGTGAATCATGGAGCATGCAAACTGCGCTGAGTTGTAAAACTTCAGAAGTACAACTGTACTTCAGACACTGTAACAGCATGTGAGGAAGCCAACACACAGAGCTGCAGACAATATGATTAATGCATGCTCTCTGCTTTGTGCCCAGTCCAACTAGAAAACCGTTTTTGCCATCACTGTTACTGGTGTATAAAAAAATCCTATTTAAAATAAATAAGCAAGCAACGTTTAGCTCACGCATAGGGTGTGGGGGAGGGTTTGAGAAAGAAAAGTCAGCCAGCACACCATGGATATAATACTCTGGGGCAAAATTTCAAAGCACAACTAAAGAATAAATAGGTTCTATGTTTAATGGGTTGACTCGTTTAAAGGGCAATTTCCCATGTGGCCCATATCAAAAGCCACCATTATACTTTTAACAGAAATGCATCAGACTTAAAGTGACTGTCACTGATTTTTCTCGCTGAATAAAAGTATTCAAAGTTGTTAATTTCAGGGTGAGATTTTGGTATTAATAAATGGAATTCATGACTCACTGGCTCTTCTTCAACTTCATAATAATTCTCCAAACAGTGCCCATTATATTTGCAGCGTCTCACCTGTCTGATCTCCTCAGACACCAGAGTGAACAACCAGAAGTAGAGCACCAGCTCTGCTATAGATGGAGTTCTCTGGAAGTCGACCATCAGGACGTAAGCAAACAGGAACAGGAAGGCGAAGTACGAGACGATGTTTCCATAAAACTTGACCTGAGGAGCGCAGTACAGTCCAAGCAGTCTGGACAAGCAGTTCGGAAATTTCCCACTCTGCTTACTGTGGGCAGAAACATCAACATCAATGTAAATCTCATTTGATCAAGAATTGGTTCTTATAAAGAAAGAAAATTGTACAACTCAGTGTTGTGTAAAATCTGACAACAAATGTTGAATGGTTCAATCAAAGATTGTCCTCTTACATGCAACACAAATTATTGTTCCAAGTGCTGTTTTTCTCTTCCTCCACACTCATTTTTATGTCCTCTTTCTGCTCGATTTCTCTCTGGAGGTCTTCATCGCATCTAAAAAGGAAAAACAGATATGAATGTGGAAAATGTGGAAATGTAATGCTTTACAACTTTCATAGTTTTCATTTATAGAATAACTCCCAGTAATATTTCACCTGAAAACCAGAAACTTGGTGTAGATCAGAGGGAAGAAGACCATGCAGACCAGCACCCTCCACACAGGATTGTGTACTGAAAGCTCACCACACCAGATCTGAGTAAGAAGATCCTAAAGCACAAGAGTCTTATCAAAAAGTCTGTAGAATATATCGGAATAAAATGACAACACTGTCTTTGACTCTCTTAAGATGATTTTACAGACTGGAGCAAACAGAAGTGAGGGATAACAAGACTTTTAAACACCACTTTGTGTGTTTGTGTTCATGACGTTGAATTATCTTAACTTTTATTTTGGTAAATATGTAGTCCCATGCACTGCGACAGACTGGCAACCTGTCCAGGTGTACCCCCCCTCCCGCCCGCCACTAAAGGACAAGGGTGTAAAGAAAATGGATGGATGGATGGATGGATGGATGGATGGATGGATGGATGGTAGTCCCATGCAAAAGTAATTATATTCATTTCCTTTTTTCAAAATTT